ATTTGTAGATAGAGGGGAAGGGAGGGAGGAAGAGAGGGAGAGAAACATCAATGTGTGGTTGTCTCTTGCATGCCCCATACTGGGAATGTGGCCTGTAACCCAGGCATGTGTCCGGAGTGGGAATCAAACCAGCAGCCCTTTGGTTTTGTAGGCTCAGTCCACTGAGCCACACTAGCCAGGGCCCATTGTATATTCTTGCCTCCTGTGTCATAGATTAATTGACCATATGCATGGATTTATTTCTGGGTTCTCTATTTTATTCCATGTTCTCTATTTTTTCGCCAGTATCATGCTGATTTGATTACTATAGCCTTGTAGTATACTTTGATAACAAGTAGCATGATACTTCCAACTTTTTTTTCTTCCTTAAGATTGCAGTGGTTATTCTGAATCTTGTGGTTCCATATATACTTTCGGATTACTCATTCTACTTCTGTGAAGTGTGTCATTGATATTTTGATAGGTATTGTATTGAATATGTAGGTTGTTTTGCATAGTGTGGACATTTTTTCTTCCTATCCATGAACATGGTATATGCTTCCATTTATTAATATCTTCTTCAGTTTCTTCATTGACTTAAAATTTTCTAAGCACAGGTGTTTTGCCTCCTTGATTAAATTTATTCCTAGGTATTTTTTTATTGATGAAATTATAAGTGGGATTGTTTTCTTAATTTCTTTTTCTGATAGTTTATTATTTCTGTATAAAAACGTAACCGATTTCTAAATATTTATTTTGTATCCTGCTAGTTTATTGAATTCATTTATCAGTTCTAGTAATTTCTGGTGGAATCTTTGGTATTCTCTCTGTATTGTGTCATCTGTAAAGAATGACAGTTTTACATCTTTCTTTTCAATTTTAAATGCCTTTTATTTCTTGTTTGATTGCTGTGCCTAGGACTTCAAATACTGTGTGGAATAAAAATGGTGTGTGAAAATATACATCCATGTCTACTTTCTGATCTTAAAGAAAATGGTTTTAGCATTTCTCCATTAAGTATGTTGTTAGTTGTGGGTTCATCTTGTATGGCCTTTGTTGTGTTAAGGTATATTCCCTCTATTCCCACTTTGCTGAGTTTTTATCATAAATGGATGCTGGATTTTGTCAAATGCTTTTTCTCCATCTAATGATAAGATCACATGATTTTGTTTATGTAGTATATCACAGTAATTGGTTTTCTGATGTTCAGCCAAGTTTCAGTCTCTGAAATAAATACCAGATGATCATGGTGCATGATATTTTTAATACATTGCTAAATCCAGTTTGCTAATATTTTTGCATCTATGTTCTTTGGGGATATTGGCTTATACTTTTCTTTGTAATAATGTCTTTGTCTTATTTTGGAATCGGGTGGTGGTTGCCTTATGAAAAATGAGTTTGGGAGCTTTCCCTTCTCTTGAATTTTTTAAAATAGTTTGAATGTAGGTGTTAATTCTGTGACTGTTTTGTAAAACTCACCTGTGAAGCCATCTGGTCTAGGATGTTTATTGAGAATTTTAGATTATTGTTTCGATTATATTGGTAGTAATTGGTCTGATCAGATTTTGTTTCCTTCTTTTTTAAAAAAGATTTTATTTATTTATTTTCAGAGAGAGGGGAAGGGAGGAAGAGAGGGAGAAAAGCATCAATGTGTGGTTGCCTCTCGCATGTCCCTGCCCCACCTTACCCCCTCCCCAAGGACCCTCCCCAAAACCCAGGTGTGTATCCTGACTGGGAATCTAACCAGCAACCTTGTGGTTCACAGGCATCACCCAGTCCAGTGAGACACACTAGCCAGGGCTCGTTTCTTCTTTATTTAGTCTTGGAAAAGTATATGTTTCTAGGAATTTATTAATTTCTTCCAGGTTGTCTACTTTTGTGGCATATTACTGCCTGTAGTATTTTCTTACAATCCTTAGTGTTTCTGTAGTGTCAGTTGTCACTTCTCTTTCATTTCTGATTTTATTTATTTGGGTCCCCTCTCACTCTTGCAGTCTCTCTCATGAGTCTAGTGAAAGGTGTATCAATTTTATATATTTTTTCAAAGAACCAGGTCTTAGTTTCATTCATCTTTTGCATTGTTCTTTTAGACTCTATTTTGTTTATTTGTGCTCAGATCTTTATTATTCCTTCCTTCTACTCACTTTGGGCTTTGCTTCTTGTTCTTTTATAATTCTTTTAGGTGTAAGGTTAGATTGTTATTTGATAATTTTCTTTTATCTTGGGGTAGGCATGTATTACAGTAAATTTCCCTCTTAGGAGCCTTCGCTGTGTTCCCTAGATTTTGGGTTGCTGCATTTTTATTTGCATTTGTCTCAAGGTACATTTTGATTTCTTCCTTGATCTTCATTGTTAACCCAGTCATTGTTCAGTAGAGTGTTATTTTGCCTCTGTGTTTGTGTTTTTCACTTTGTTTTCTTATAGTAGATTTCCACTTTCATACCATTGTGGTTGGAGAAGATGCTTGTTATGATTTAAGTCTTCTTAAATTTATTGAGATTTCTTTTGTGTCCTAACATGTAGTTTATAGTAGAAAACATTCCATGTGTACTTGAAAGGATATTTTCTGCTGCTTTGGAATGAAGTGCTTTGAAATATCAATTAATACATCTTACATAGTGTATTGTTTAAGGCTGTTGTTTTCTTTTTGATTTTCTGTCTGGAAGATTCATGCGTAGATGACAATGGGATATTAAAGTCTCCATCTATGACTATTTACTGTCCATCTCTCCCTTTATGTTTGTTACTATTTTATTTTTCCAGGTGTTCCTGTTTAATGTTTACAAGGCTTATATCTTTTCATTGGCTCAATCTCTTTATCATTATGTCATGTCCTTTTTTGTCTTTCATTATATAGCCTTTGTTTTAAAGTCTTATTTCATTTCATATAAATATTGCTACTCGGGCTTTTTTTTTTTTTCCCATTTACATGAAACATCTTTTTTTTTTATCCCTTTACTTAACTCTATGTGTGTCCTTCTATCTGAAGTCACCTCTTGTAGTCAGCATTTGTATGGATTTTGTATTTTTATCCATTCAGCTGCCCTATGTCTTTTGATTGGAGTATTTATTCACATTTAAAGTGATTATTGATGGGTACGTTATTGCCATTTTATTATTCATATTTTTTCATCCACCCCCCACCCCCAGCTGCCTTTACTCCTAAAGAAGTTCCTTTAACATTTCTTATAATACTGGTTTGGTGGTGATAAACTCCTTTAACTTCTTCTAGTCTGGGTATCTCTTTATCTCTTCTTCAGTTTTAAATGGTTTCGTCTGGTTAGGGAAGTTTTCATTCTTACCTTTTCAAATAGGTTCTCAATCCCTTGATGTTCCTCTTCTTCTGACATTCCTATGATGCAAATGTTATTGTGCTTTATGTAGTCCCAGAAGTCCCTTAAACTATCCTCATTTTTTAAAATGCTTATTTCATTTTCCTGTTCTGATTGGGAGTTTTCTGCTACATTGACTTCCAGATCTGTGGTTGGTAGCTGCATGTTCTGGGCCTGGAGCCAGGTGGTAGATGCCACACTGAACTGAGGCTATTACAAGTACCAGTCCTGGGGCCACTCAGCAATCTCTTATAGTTTTCAGAGTACAGGTCTTTCATCATTTACAAGTATTTGTGGGAATTTTATGGTTTTTGTTTCATGTATGTGCAATTGTGAATGGGATTATTTTTTAAATTTTTCCTTCTGATTGTTTGCTGTTGGTATATAGAAAAAGCAGATTTCTGTATATTGATTCCATATCTTGCAACTTTAAGAAGTCATTTATTATTTTTAATTGTTTTTTTTGTAGAGTCTTTAGGGTTTTCTATGTATAGTAGTATCTTGTTCACTGCAAATAATGTTTTCCTTTTTTTTTTTCTTTCTGACTTTGATGCCTTTTGTTTGTTTTTTTGTTTGTTTGCTGTGGCTGGAACTTTCAATACTAAATAGAAATGGTGATACTGTGTATCCTTGATGTGTTCCTAATCTTAGAGGACAAGCTTTCAGCTTTTCACCATTGACTGGAGTATTAGCTGTTGTGAGGCTTTTAATCATAAAAGGATGTTGAATTTTATCAAATGCTTTTTCTGTATCTTCTGAGATGGTCATATGGTTTTTATTCCTTATTTGTTTTTTAATATTTAATTTATTAGAGACAAATATTTAATAAATATATTAAGTATTTATTAAATAAATATTTAATTTATTGTTTTTAGAGAGAGGAATAGGGAGAGAAACATCAACGTGTGGTTGCCTCTTCCGCACTCCCAACTGGGACCTGGGCCTGCAACACCTATATGTTCTGTGACTGGGAATTGAACTGGTGATCCTTTGGTTCACAGGCCAGCACTCAGTCCACTGAGCCACACCAGCCAAAGGCCCATATTCCTTATTTTTTTTATGTGATGTAATGCATTGATTGATTTAGAGATGTTGATCCATCCTTGCAGCTCTGTGCTTGGTCTCACTTGGTCATGGTATATAATATTTTTAACGTATAGTTGAATCTAGTTTGGTAATAGTTTTGTTGAGACTCAATATCCTTGAATCCATGCTCATAGCATTCGGTATCCTTGAATCTATGCTCATCAAGGATATTGGCCTGTAATTTCCTTTTCTTATAATGTTTTTTCTGCTTTTGGTATCAGGATAATGATGGCTTTGTAGAATGTGTTTTGGTAGTGTTTCGTCCTCTTCCATTACTTGAAATAATTTTTTATTTCTTCCTGAGTCAGTCTTAGATGGTTGTATATTTCTAGAAATTTAAACATTCTTCTAGATCATTGAATTTATTGGCATATAATTGTTTCATTCTTTAATGATTTTTTAAATTTATGTGCTGTTAATTGTAACTTCTTTCAGTTATGATTTTATTTGGGCTCTTTTTTAATTTATGAGTTTGGCTAAAGGTTTGACAATTTTATTTATCTTTTTTAAAGAACACAGCTCTTAATTAATGTTAATTTTGTTTTCCTTTTTTTTTTTTTTTTAATTCTCACCCGAGGACACTTTTTTTTCCATTGCTTTTAGAGAGGAAAAGGGAGAGAGAAATATCGATGCAGGAAAGAAGCATCGATTGATTGCCTCCCGAATGCACCCAGACTGGGGATGGAACCCACAACCTAGGTATGTGCCCTGACTGGGAATTGAAAACCCGCAATCATTTGGCTACAGGATCATGTTCCCACCACCTGAGCCACACCAATCAGGGCTCTGATGTTTTCTTAATTTCTATATTATTTCTGCTCTTACATTGACTGTCTCCTGTTTACTTTTTGTTTTGGTTTTGTTTGTTCTTTATCTGGTTCCTTTAGGTATGAAGTTAGATTGCTTAATTGGGATTTTTCCTGTTTTTTTAAGGTAGTTCTGTATAGCTATGAACTTTCCTTTTTGAACCGTTTTTGCTACATCCCATATTTTGAAAAGTTGAGTTTACATTTTCATTTGTCTCCAGATAAATTTTTAATTTTCTGTTTCATTTCTTCTTTGATCATTGGTTCAGTACCCTGTTTAGTCTTCACACTAAAACTAATGTTTTAGTCTCCATTTCTGTTTTTTCCTGTAGTTGATTTATTTATTTATTTTTTATAAAGATTTTATTTATTTTTATAGAGAGGGGAAAGGAAAAACATCAATGTGTGATAGCCACATTGAACAGTTGCCTCTCACATGCACGCCAGCCATAGACCAAATGGACCAGGCTTGCAACCCAGGCATGTGCCTTGACCAGTGGGTGACCTTGCACTTTGCTGATGACACCCAACCAACTGTGACACCAGTCAGAGCTGTGGTTGATTTCTAATTTTATGCATTGTGGTTAGAAAAGATGCCTTGGTATGATTTCAGTCTTCTTGAATTTATTGAGGCTTGTTTTGTGACCTGATGTGTGATCTATCCTGGATGTTTCATTTGCACTTGAAATAAATAATACATCTGCAGTTCTGGCCTGCGGAGTTGATGCTGAGAAATCAACTGATAGCCCTTTAGGGGTGTTTTGTATGTAATTTGTTGTCTTCTCCTTGCTTCCTTCAAGATTGTTTCTTGATCTTTGCCATTTTAATTACGTCTTTGGTGTGGGTCTCTTTGGGTTCATAGGGGGTGATGGAACTGTTCTTTATTTTCATGGAGGAGGTGGTTGCACAGTGTATACATTTGCCAAAATATGCAGACCTGTTTAATAAGAGCGAATTTTGTATATTTAGCTTTAATTTTTTAAGTGAAATTTTAAAAGAGTGAGAAACCAACTTATTGAAGCATTGCAGATGTGAAAAAATCATCATGGTGTCTTACTAACTATGTGGTCTTACTTAGATTGCCATTGAATCTAACCTATTCTAAGTGTAGAAATAATTTTGGACTATAGAGGACAAACTTGGTGTTGAAATGGTCTTGATAACTTTTGTAAATTAAATGGTGATAAAGGTGTTCGGCAGTTAACTAGGTCCTGACCATTATTTCAGTCAATAAACTGTCAGTGGTTAATTTGCAGTTCTAATGATTTTGATAATATTCATGTTATAAATGTGTGTAACATCAGTTCATCAATATCATTTTATATTGCGAACTGCCTTTTGATATCAGTAGATTGTAATTGTCAAAGCTCTTTAGATAGAATAAAATGTAAAAAGAGTTATATTAGAGTATTTGGATTATATCCAATCACAAGTAAACACATGATGGGTTTCTATGAGGGGAAGTGAATGACCTAGAAGTGTTGTGGAGAATGCAGGGCAACAGGAATTCACATTCATTGCTGGTGGAGATGCAAAATGGTACAGCCACTATGAATAACAGTTTAATAGCTTCTTAGGTAAGGTATGCTTAACTTCATATGATCAAGCAGTTTCATTCCTAGGTATATGTCAGGGAAATGCATATCTGCCCACCCAAAGACTTGTGCAGGAACGTTTATAACTGCTTTATTTGTAATAGCTCGAAACTGGAGCAATTCAAATACCTATCAACAAGTGAATGGCTAAACAAATTGTAGTAAATCATATGATTGAATTCTACTAAGCAATAAAAATTAATGAACTACCTATGTATGTAACAACATAGAAGTGTTTCAGATATACAATGCTTAGCAAAAAAAAGGTCAGACAATATATAGTATGAATTCTATTTACATGAAACTCTAGAAAAGATAAATTTTTAGATCCATAAAACAAATCAGTGGTTGCATAGGTCTGGGTTTGAGTATTGCTTGGGAAAATGCTACAACAGAACGTTTTGGGGGTGATCAAAATATTCTGTATTAGAATTGTAGTACTGTTTGTACAGTAATAAATATTCAAAGTCATTGATCTATCTACTTTAAATGGTTACATTTTGTTGTAAGTAAATTATACCTCAAAGTTTGCTTTAAAAAAAATTCAGGAAAGTATTTCTGAAAGTGTCTTAGAAAAGAAGTTTTCTTAATTTTAATTTTAAACAAGTTCATTTTTCTCAAAAATTTTGAAGTAGCAGTAATATTCAAATTAAGAGTTAAAACCCTCATTTTTTTCAGCAAATGTTCATGCACATTATGCTCCACCGAATATCAGTATGAAATAGTTCTTTATAGGTGACAAATTTTACGATCTTAACGGTATCTCAGAGTTTTGTATATACTTTGAGGGAAGTTTGGTTCTATAGTCATGCATCACTTAATGGCAGGTATATGTTCTGATAAATTCATCATTAGGTGATTTTGTAGCTGTGTGAACATATCATAGAATGACTTAAACCTTGATGGTATAGCTTACTGCACACCTAGGCTATATGGTATAGTGCTTTGCTCATAGGCTACAGGCTTATAAAGTATGTTACTATACAAAACAGCGCAAGATTAAATCAGACTTGAGAGAAAATGATGCATTCAAGAGACACCATAAGCACCGGGTATATGAGGCTGCCAGTGGTGTAACATGGTATACTGTTTTACAGCAAACTTTTTCTAAGTAGAAAGAGTACACTCTAACTACTGAAAGTATAGCATAATATATGTATAAGCCAGTAACATAAGTCTTATCATCATTATCAAGTATTATGTACAGCATGTAATTATATGTGCTTTATTTTTATATGTCTGGCAGTAGATTTGTTTATACCAGCATGACCACAAACACATGTGTAAATGCCTTGTGCTGCAACATTAAGACATCACTAGGATTTCTTAGCTCCGTTTTGGTACCATTGTGTTATATGCAGTTCCTTGTTGACCAAAACATTATGTAGTGCATGACTGTATTTTTGTTAAACTGTTGAATGCTGATAGTAAGCAGTTTACTATTTAAGATCCTTTCAGCTGCAAGTAACAGAACCAAACTAAAACTGCCTTATGTAAAATAGATATTTGTTATCCCACATAATAAGATTTCTGGAGCAAAGTGTGTGCTAAGGTTATATAACTTAATAGATGAGCAACATCATCAAGCATCTAAGTTCCTTTCATCTTTCTTTCCTATCATTCTCTCAGTATGTTGGTGGTCTCCTTTCAGATGGGTGCTCTGTAGTCTCTAGATGACTGCCTCAGAGTTGAGTATCTTAGGTGAATAACATCTAGGGAAAGAAAATGGAACATTCCTGTCTTGGATTCCTTGGACATGTGTATGTGAGGAAAACTTCCTGGAAGCCCATGCTCATAGCTTACACAGTTAACTGGCAAAAGAAGTAAGACCATGAGTGGCTTAAATCAATCATTACTTACTACCTAGAGCCGAACAGATGAAGGACTTGGCAAATGGAAGGAAGGTAAACAAAATCGGGGTTCCTTTATCAAAGCAGGGGAGAATAATTATTGAGTAAACTAAGTCTGTGCTGTATTAGATTACACTAAGACTGTGAAGGACAAGATCAGTGAACTAGATAAATCATAGAAAAGATCTTGGTAAAAGGTATATATTTCCAACTTATAAAATGTCGCATTCTAAAAATTCTCCATATTTTCATGAACTAGTCATTAATTTATTTTAAACTTAATATGATCTAGCTTTTATCCTCAGGATGCTAAGAAATGCTCTTGCCATAGTTGCTAGTGAGCTCCTGATTACTGGTATTTGGCTTTTTAAAATAATTTTAAATGCTACTTGCCTTTGTTTTGGTATCGGCATTATAAGCCATTTTCCTCCTGAAAGTCTGTCTCTTTATTCCTACTCTACTATTCTAAAAATGTATTAAATTATAAAATACTTCAAACCAAAAAATTATATCATTATCCACATTAAGCACATTAATATTTTTTCTACTTGCTTTATATTTCTTTTAAGAAAAAACAATGCACCCTGGCTGGTATGGCTCAGTGGATTGAGTGCCAGCCTGCAAACCAAAGGGTTGCCAGTTTGATTCCCGGTCAGGGCACATGCCTGGGTTGCAGGCCAGGTCCTCAGGTAGGGGGACACATGAGAGGCAACCACACATTGGTATTTCTCTACCTCTCTTTCTCCCTACCTTCCCCCCTCTCTAAAAGTAAATAAAAGTCAAAAAACAAAAAAGAAAAAACAGCGCCACAGGTATAGTTAGAACTCTTCCCCAACCCATTTTGCTGTCTTTAAATTGATGATTATCTTTTCCAACCATGTTTTTATATTTATGAAAGTATTCCTGACTCAAATTGCTACTTCCTAATTCTTTGCCTGTCTATTCCTTATATATAGATGTCCTGCAGATTCACACCCTTCTGAATCTGTACCTTGGATGAGTTTATCTCCAAAAGGAGTGGTTAAACTATGAGGATATTTTTGTTTAATCATTCTCTGGTTTGTGCCTTTCTCTGAGCTTTAGACTTATTATCAACCCCTTACTAGACTTGTCAACAAGATGTCCCACAGCCGTCTATAACTAACATCTGAAACTGAACTCGTGGGTCCAGAAAAACCTGTTTGTCTCTTCTCTTCCTCAGTTATGGGAGAAATTAACTAGAAACTTTCTGGTTATCCAGCCCTTAACACACATAGTAACTCCTTTTAAAGTGTTCAGTAATATGCTGGACAGTGAATATATGACTCCTTTTTCTTCGTATCTCCTCTACTCTTATTTAACTGATCATATAAACATGATTATTCTACTTAATACGTATCCCCTTAACCCCTTCGTGTTTGTCCCTACGGTGTTCTTAACTTTTATCCTTTCTCACATGGGTCACTGAG